TTTTTTCAAAAATCCAATGTCAAAATTAAATAGTTCTTCCCCTGTCGAGTCGGATATTGGGTTGAACCGAGGGGCAAATCACTCTTTGTAAAAATGTACATGTATTGCCGAGTTCACATGATTTCCGCAATCATATGGCGATTTCTGGGTGACTGCGGTGATTTCCATGTGACTTCCTACACAGTTCTAGTTACTGCGATGATTTCCACATGATTTCAATAGATTTCTCGTGACTGCGCTCATTTATGTGTTAACTGCGGCGATTTCCGTACTGATTGCGGCGATTTCCGTATGGATTGCCAGTATTTTTCAAAATTGCAGGTATTTTCGAAGGATTTCTACATCAATGTATGGCTTTCCAATTAGTTTCCAGTAAAAAACATTAGCTGGGTGTTATATCAGGAGAACTAAATTTTGTATAGAACATGTATTATGAGTCATACAAGAAAAAGAAAAACTAAAGTTTATATAAGACGTAAAAAAACGTGAAAATTGTTTTATGATTCTTGTGAAGAATCGATAAATTAAAGGATTCGAGTATATTTATAAATATACCATAAATTTAAAAAATATTCATTGGTTTTATGTATTTAATTTAATAAATTAATAAAAGTCATCATCTATTTTTAAAATAGTCATTTTATCTTAATTATCTCTAAATAAATTTTTAAAATTTTGTAAATTTTCGTTAGTGGGTAGTAAAAAAATATACTGTACAACTTGAGTGGATTGTCCGTCTTACATATGGCTATCATATCCACTCTTGTTGCACAAACTACTGTTGTAGATCACTATTTAAACATATTCAATTAAAACTCATACTAACACTGCATCTGCCAACTATTAATATAAAACTATAGGGATGAATTAGAGTGTGTTTTTTATCCCTATAGTTTTTGTGTACTATTTTTTTTAATGTTTTCCACTTTTTTACATAAAAATCTAAAGTGTGCAAAACATGACTTTCCTGTCTTTTTATTACAAGCTTTTTCCGGTTATTTTGTACAACCTACTGTATATTACACCTGTAAATGTATAGAGATTTCCACACACATCTTACTCCAAATATTTTTTACATGTATTTATTGCCAACGAAAATACTGAACAATTAAAATGTTACCCTTTTTGTCAAATTTTTTCATTACCGCCCATTTTAAAGATATATCATGTATAGAACAAAAATTATAGAGAATTTTGCACTTTTTGTCAAATTTCTCGAATATGTACCATTTTGAGAAAAATATGTACCTATAGGAAAAAAATTATAGAAAATGTAAAAAGTGTAAATAACATATTGATATGGAAACACCCTGTATGTGAATTCCAACTAAAATATAAAATGGGGTGATAATAAAAAATTTAAATAAAAAAATATTCTTCTGTTTTCTGCCCTGGCTACTCTCGTATTCGGTCTGCGGAAAAAATATGCAGTTTAGAGTGAATCCACATTTTAACAAAAAAAAAAAAAAAATGTTTTGCATAAGTAAACAAGCCTTCCAAAAAAATCCCGGCGGTCTCATGAAATTTAGCCCCTCCCCGTAAATTTTTTTGTTTTTCATATTTGCAATATAAAATATCACTAATTAAAAAATTTTGTGTTTAGTGATCAGAAAATATAAAAATAGGGATAAATCGTAACCTAACCTATACGGCCTGGAGACATTGGGGTTACCTCACAAAAAAATTAACAAAATGAAAAAAAACCTAACTAATTTACCTAACCTGTGATACTAGGTGCCATAGGTTATTTCTTCAAAAAATTATATATAAAATGAGAAAAATTTAACTAATTTACCTAACCTGTAGGTTTTAGAGCTATCGCATGTTATTTAGCAAAAATTATAAAAAAAACCAACTAATTTACCAAAAAAAAGTATACATAAAATGCGAAAAACGAAGAAAAAACTTAATTAATTTAATACAATCATCAACTTTCTTAGGCTAACACTAAATATATCTGTTTAGACTTTTCCTCAAATATTTCGAATATGGTATAAATCATGTATAGGACAAAAATTAAAGACTAAATTTTATTTGAAAAATTTTCTTAAATACTCGAAATTTACACTTTTTGTAAACTTTCTTAAATACCAACCATTTTAGGAACATTACCTACCTGTAGGATAAAAATTATAGAGCAACACCAGCAACTTTTATTTAAAGAATTTTCTTCTCCAAACGTAAATAACATATATTCCATGGAGTAGAAAAACGACCCCCTATAAAGTACCCCTCCCCCTAGATGTTTCGACTATGCCTAAAATGTAATCAACTCATTAGAGGATAGATCAAACCTTAAGTTTAAAATTTAGTGTTTTTCATTTTATCCGTTCATGATTTATTGAGTATACAGACACACATACACATACATCATCGCGAAAATAGTCAAAACGACTTCAGGGAACCCCAAACCGTAAAAATCCGTCGAAAACTCGAAAAGATCATGATTCCTATACTTTCGTTATCTGTATATGGACAGGAAAGTAAAAAAAAGTATTGTCATTAAATTAATTCCTTTTTAAATAAAATAAATTTTAATTAAAACGTGTATGGCCCCCTATAAAATATAAATAATTTTATTATTCATTAAAAAAAAATCAGGCGAAATAGAGACAATTCTGGACCACCTTGGAAATATTTTCTATACAAGTAGATCAGAAATTTGATGATCTATTCCAAAAATGGCATTTTAAAATTAATTTTACACAAGATGGCTAAGATGGCCAAGTCAATGCACCTACTTCGACAATGGCGAAATGTCAACTGACTGCGCGCGATTTTTAACGATTGCTAGTGATTGCTCAGCGACTGCGAGAGATTTCGGGGAGACTGCGAGGGAATTCTGATTTCTTAGCGATTGCCACTGATTTTGATGAGACTGCGGCGATTTTCAATGGGATTGCGGACATTTTGTACATGTATTGCGGGAGTGATTCGCCCCTCGGGTTGAACGCTATGAAACTCTCTTGTATTTGAGCCTTTTTAGAAATGTCATTTAGAACGACATAGCGCAAAACGAGGCTTATTTGCTCTGTATGACTTGTATCCGGTGTACAGTCTAAAATTATTGAATAATATTTGGAACTGCGAACCATATTCAAAATATAATGTTTTACTTTAGAACACATTAATTCAATAATTTCGTTTTGTATCTGATAGCTTAAATAATGGGCCATTTTTAAAGAATTTCTTTGTGAGTTTTGCACTCGACTAATGTCAATCACAGGATCAAAAGAGGAAATCATCTCGACAGCTTTGAGGAAGTTTCCATTATCAATTTTTTTTTCTACCTTGTTACAATATTACATTTATAATATATATTTAGGTAGCTTCCTCAATGGTGGAGTGACCTAGGCACTTATGCCTGTTATGTCCATTTCCACATGAAGAAGCTAACTAAGTGAATTAAAAAAAAATTAGTACAATAGATAGAGTATTCAGTGAGAAAGTGGGAGGCACAGTCAGAGAGAAAGATAAGGCAAGGCGAACTAAATTAAAATTTAGTAATTTTGAAGTTAATTTTAATAATTTAAAAAATTTGAAATACTTGAGGATTTGTCAAGATCAAAGTTTTAATTTGTTTTTTAAATGTAGAAATTTTATTTATTTCTTTTAAACGTGAAGGAACCAAATTGAACAGTTTAGGTCCAAAGTAGAAAAAAGATCTTTGGGTTACAGTTTTGTAGAAAAAGTCTATGTTTATATTTAAATTAGTTGCTGCCCTTGTAAATGTAGTTCTTTTTGCGAAGTTTCTTGTTTGAGGTACATCCTTAGAAGACACTGAAAGGTGTATATTTGTCTCACTTTTAGTACATTTGTATCCTGATATAATGAAATTGTTGGAAATAGTCTATTAAAAAAGTATTTTAGAAGAACCTTGGAACGCTAGACATTGTCTGGATAAAAATTTGACAACTGCAACAATTCTTACCAGAACGTCATGCCAATATTTTTTTTCAGTTTCTAAAACCCGTAAGTGATGATCATTTACGGTTGTGGACAATTTTAATATTTTTTTAAATTCATCCACGTATTCATGTGAACATTATGTACAATTAATGTTTCATGTCTTTTTATAACTAAGGACATATGTTGCCAATCAGAAAAACCATGAGTACCGGAAAAACTATTGAAAGTCTTACCGAAAATTTTACAACAAAAACAAAATATTGATTTTTTCAAAACTAAGTAAATGAGCCAAATTCTATTTGCTTCTTCTCCATTTCCTAGTTTTTTGACAAAGTACTTACTTGAAAATTTTCTTTTGTCTTTGTCTTTATTAGCTGGAAATTGATAATTGTTTCCTATCAAAGGAGGACCACGCTCAACCAATATTCTGACTTCGTCTTGGTAATGCTTCTGGGCCATAAACCGGGGTCCTCTGATATAAGAATACTAGTATTCTCAGTCACCGCTTCAGTAGAAACTTCATCGTCACTTGTAGGCGTCTTTGTTGGGATGGTTGACTCTATAGAGAATATATTTTCGATAAGTGATGATGATGTTGATGGTTCACATGTTGCAGAAGGTGGTGTTGCCGCCGCTTCAGAAACTGTATTTTCACCTTCCTCTATCGTTTCAGTGTTGGAAACTTGACTCCAGTAATAATTTCAACTATACATTACTTTAGAAAATAACTTAGTATATCTATGAAAAAAGATTTAAAGGAAACATTATCAAGATGGTTTAGAAAATTTAAAAATAATTGATTTAAATACACTGGTACAAAACGCTTAATAATGTCAATAAATGCAGGTTTTTTTGTTTCAAATCAAATCATCCTTAAAACGTATGTCCCTAAAGTTTTCGGAAAAAATTAAACATTTATTTTTTTTGGTTGGGAAATAAATTTATTTAAAAATTAACAATGGGAAAGAATTTCTAGAACTCTAAACGTTATTTGATATTTTTATAAAATATACATGTGTCCATGTTCTTCGATGGCACGTAGTTTTGGCTTTACATGGGCCATAAGCCTTTGGACCATTGCTAAATTGATCTCACGAATTTTTTTGCAGTATTCTTCGTCTTAACTGCTCCTCATTTTGGGCTTCCCATCCATTATCATATACTTTTTGACTTAAAAGGGCCCAAAACTCTTCTATAGGCCTCGCCTGAGGCACATTTGGAGGGTTGTCGCGCTTAGGAACAAAATTTATATTTTGAGCAGTTAACCAGTCTGTCGTTCTCCTGGCGTAATGGCACGATGCTAGATCGGGCCAAAATATAACTTCATCATTGGGATGATGAGTATGTATAGAGTTACGAAGTTTTGAAAGACATCTCTCAATGTAAATCTCCGCATTGATAGCTTCACCGCGAACACGTTCAACATGTGGCTGTGAAACATCAGCTTCCGAAATGGCACACCACACTAAAGTTTTGTCGGCAAATTTAACCTTGCCTTTAAATCTAACATGATCAGGAGCTTCTTCCGCATTACGTGTATAAAATCCATCGTTACCTCTCATTTCGGAATTTGATAAAGTAAAATATTTTTCATCATCCATAATGATAATTTTACCGGGAAAATGAATACGTCTCAAAGCACGGCAACATCTGGGAATGTTTTCCAACTGAGCTACTGTGTATTTAGGAGCCTTTCTTCTTTTATAATATTTTAAATTATTTCCGGAGAGTGTTCTACTTACAGTCATCCGGCAAACATTGTATCTACGGCCAACTTTGCGCAATGACTTTCCTAAGTTGTTTTCTACACTTTTAACCAATCTTCGTTCTCGTGCACGACTTAAAACTTTTGGCCTCCCACTTTTTGGCAAATTAATGCATGGTATGCCATTTTCACAGTCTTTAATAGTATGGTAAATTGTGGAAGTAGAAATATTTTGGGCGCTGAAAATTCTAACAATATCGCGCTTAGGTACTTGTCCAACTAAATGATAAAGACTTTGACGAATATTAAGCTTATACGACATCTTGACAAACAATTAGTCAAAACTGACATTTATCAACATACTTTGAGTTGTTTACTAACTTTGTTTCCAATGGCAACTTGATCCTAGGCTGTCTGCGATAAATAAATAAAAATAGATTTTTTTCCGGAAACTTTAGGGACATACGTTATAATAAATTTTGCATGTATTTTGAAAATGGCCCTTGTGATAAAAAAAAGCTCGCACCATCCAACTTATGGTCAGGCGAAACGATACCACAATTTGAGCTTGTCAAGTGAATCGAGAAATTTTAATTGGTCAGGCGAAATGGGAACAGGCGAATCGGACATAAATCAAGTCAAATACATAGGTATTATGTGGGTAGGTACTTACCATTTTATAAAATTTAATTACAACACAACACAAAATATAAAGCACTTCGTCGAATATTTATGACTATATCTTTGCGTCTTGGCTTTTGACCTTCACGTAGCCGAAGAAACTATTAACTCTTTGGATTACGACGCCTCCTGCAGTTTTATTTATACTCGTGGTTCGTAGATAAGTCTTCAAGTCTGGACAGGAAAAATCGACAAGATCTAATATGAAACTTACTCGTCGTACAATATTCGAGTCTGGACAGGAAAAAACGTAGTCCGTACAATATTCCAGTCTAGACAGGAAAAATTGGACAAGTTTATACCCGAGAATACCGATCAAGGAGAAGCGACAGTAGCTGTCGGTGCCTTTGATATCGGATGTACCTTTTTCACAGCATGACTTTGATTGATACACAACTTAGCACGCTGAGAAAACATGCTTATTTTCTACACTGAGAGAAATATTTTGGCAAATTATCTGAAATCATTGTTATAGTCCATGCGCAAATGTTGCAATGTGATTTAATTACATTGAAGTAGTTAGGGTTAATAGCAATGGTGAAATTTCGGTACCAAAATATAATTCATTATGTAATAATTAATTATTTGTTATAAAAGTAAAAGACGTTTATTATTTTATAATTTATCTATAAAATTTGTTCAATATTTGGTTTATATATTGTTTAAAATGTAATAAAAGCCCCATATTTAAATTAAATTACCTTTTCCTTAAGTAAAAATAAGGTAAATAAAATTAAGGGTGCCAAAAAAAATTAGGTAACAATTAAAAAGACATTAAGTTTGAGGGGTTTAACTAAATATTTGCAATGTGCATATATTTTCAAAGCTTTTAGGTTTAAAAAGTACTTATATATTTTTAGAATTTCTAGATTTATATTATATTAAAAGGACTTTCAAGTTTATCGTTTATTTCTGTAGAAACAAATGTTTTCTCGCTAAGTTAAACGAGATGTTATTTAAGGTTTATGTATTTAGAGTTAAATACCTGGCCTGGCTATCACCCAGACAATACAAATATGTCCGTTGGACGTCCATTCGATATACAATTTTGGATTTCTAGACGTCCAAAAATGAGTTTTCTGGACTTCCGACATCTAATGGACGTCCAGTGAAGTATACAAATGGCACACTTTTGACCATTCAGAGGACGTCCAATTCTGGAATATATTTGGACGTCGAATACTGGACATTCAAGAAACGTCCAGGATTATATTTCCATTGAGACCACATTCCCATTTTTTTTTACAGAACCGCAACTCACCAAACACTATTTTATATTATTAATAATTTGTTTATTATTTTCGCAAACCGCTATACACCATTTATTTATTTTTTATTAAAAATTGCTTGACCTGAGCAGGAATCGAACTCACGACACATCCATTATCGTTTTACGCTTTCAATCGCTAGACGAGCTCGATCAAGGAACCACTTGAAAACTTTTTACTAGATACAGTTATAACTGAATAAGATTTCAAACTTCCGCTGATAGAATGAAATGCAATAGATTCAATTTGTCAATTTTTAATGACCAGTTATATTAAAAAAGAAGTATATATAGATGGGTATTATCTGGTAGGCTTAATAAATAATGACCTAAGATGGACGTCACAATACTACTAAACTTAAAATTAAGTCCAAAAAGAGACGGGTATCGATATTCAGCTGTCAATTTAATTAGCATAAACGGACGTACACTGGATGCCCGGAAATAGATCTAAAGTGGACGTCCATTGGACTATGTGTGCATAGACGAATTTTTAGAAATAGTACTTATTTAAGTATGCACCAATATATCCAAAATCAACTCCAGTATAATTCATTCAATAAATGTAAATATGAATGGGCGAAACATCTTTATATTGACATAATTGTAACTTACAATTTAGCCATAATAAAGGGATTTCGCCCACTTTGACCAATCCTAATTGAAACACGCGAATTTATTATATTTTTTAAATATAATTTTAAAATAAAATAAACAAAATCTGCAGTTCATTGTTTATTAAATTTATTTATAAGAAGAAAAACATATATTTCACAAAATACAATACCTACATATGAAAAATAAAATGTCAAAAATGATTAAATCATTATACTTAATATTTATGCATGTGATAAAATTCTTAGTTTCCTAATAACTTTTTTGGCACATTTTATATTTGTATTAGAATAACTAAGTGTGTAAAAATCTTCATCTTATTACTACACAAAACAAACACCAAAAAATATCACTTAACATTGCTCACGTACTAAACACAACTTGGACTGACTTTGACAGATAACATAATTTTGAGTGATACACAACTTAGTTTCGCACATGCGCGTTACGAAACGGTGCACTGAAAACACCAAGCTGTCGCTTCTCCTTGATCGGTATTCTCGGTTTATACTTTATACGGGTGTTTATGGTATTGCATGTTGCACACAGAACTAATTAACCTATTGATTTTATTATATTTAATAATTAACGCTAATTGAATAGCTATTTGATTTTAAAAATAGATATGTTTTCTGTCACAATAGGAATAGGTCATTATATCAACGAACATAAACTTATTAACATTATTGATAATATTATCCTGAATTGAGATAAAAACATTTTTAATTTCTTTAGTGTCTTAGTGCCTTGTTCATTGGAATCGTTAGAAAATTTAAAAACTCGAATTGTACACAGACCTCCGGTTTGGCGCCCCTTTAGAGCTGCGAACGCGTGCGGTGTACGCGTTGCACGCGCAGTTGCGGGGGCCCTGTGTTGAGTCCAGAAGAATCACTGCCACTTTTTAAAGAATTTAGGTGACTACGTCGCACATGTATGCCATATTTCTAACCTTATCTATTTAAAACTACTAGTTTTACGAGAATTGTTCTTTTTACTTTTTTTTTTAACTTTGACTTGCCAATATCATTACTTTTTACATAAATAATTGTAAAAATCCTCATTAAACGATTGCCAAGGCCCAATTGCATTATCTTATTTTTATGAGTTTTAGCTATTTTTATTATCCTTATTTAAAATTCAAACGACAGGGAACAACCTAATCTGAATAAATACATTAAATCCTTATTACTAAATTCATCACGGATTCGTATTTTATCCCTGATATTATTCATCGAAAGTTGGTACACATATGGTTAAAATTAAATTATCCAAAGTGTAGCAGGATCAATCCTGGCACCGAATAAATCACGGCTTCCTCTTCTATTCTTCTATCAAATCCTGGGTATCCGCCCACCGTTCTGGGGTCAATTTAATGCATATATTTAGCCCATATGCCGGCAAAAGGTAGTTAAGTGGGAAGTGTAATTTGTTAACGTTGTATCCCCGAAAATATATCGGTTTGTTGTTGCGGGATCAATTTAAATGCGAGCAAAGCTACTGTGCTATATAGTTAGTTGTTAGCTGTTCATGGCTCCCTCTTAAATGTTATCGGAATGAGCTCTCATGGACCCAGATGCGACTAAATGCCGTGAATGGTACAATAAAATACTCTTCCTGACTGTGAACGCCACCCCATTGTATTGGCGTATTCCAATTGTCGATTTGCACTCATTTCGTAGTAGCATGCATTAGAAAATCTATTATTCCAATGTATTCGTACAGTATAGGTTCATTTATAGATGCAAGAGATATCTATAAAAAGCCAACAAATATTTTGTGTATAATTTTTGTTGCGATTAACCATGAATAAACCTTGCATATTTTTATCTTATGTACTGTAGAAAAATAAGTATAATTTAAACATAATTCGTTGTAAATTAAACATTGGAAAAAAGTGGTGAGACGGAATTTGTACGCGATAATATTTATAACAACTATAAATTAAGTGAGTTGGCGATATTTTGTAGTGTTTCAGTGTATTTTTTTATTAATACTCTATACTGGTTATAATGATTTGTGTTCTTTGATAAGGGAAAAACAGTATGATGTACTGATGGTTTCTGAAACATGGTTATCGGATTGAATAGATGTAAATTATTTAAAATACGAAAAGAGGTGGTGGAGTGGAAGCTTTTGTTAAAAATTGTTATCATTGTCAACAAATCATACCTCAATTTATGATTAGTGACCAGCTGGAATTTCAATTCTTTAAATTAGTTAATAATTAAAAAAATTGGGTTTGGTGTTTTTTATAGATCGCCTAAAGGTACCTTTAATTCTATAATTATAACTGA